TTGATATTTCAAACGAATTGGAACGAACCCTAGTGATACTTAGTAGTAGTAGTAGCAGCAATAGACCGACAATAACCAGAGGGATGAAAAAACGTCCCTCAAAAATGAAGAAATTGATATTTCAAACGAATTGGAACGAACCCTAGTGATACTTAGGCTACGGTCCGATTCACGCTCGCAGCGCTCACTGTACTTACAATGCTCACGATTGGTCCGATTTGTTAACATGCTCAAAGCGCGTTAACGACAATTTCGTTTCGGACCGCTACAGAATAGGGGCCCAGATCACATAACCTGTGGATAATCACACATAACCTTTAAAGTGAAAATACAAAGAGGAAAATACAATAGTGAAAATAGCAATAACGAATAAAGTATATTCAATTGTGCAAAGTTCTATAAAGTTAATATTTATTTTATTTTTTCTAACAGCTGTAGCTACTTTCGCAGCTTCTGTTTGTGTTAATTGAAATTCCATAGCATTTCCAGTATCTTCAACGTATACTTTAAATGGCACACAACTCATTTTTGATTAAATGTTTTGATACTCTTAAAACTGAAATGTCTTTCAATACTCTAGCTGCGTGATATCTCGTCCGTTTGCCGACCGTTAACCGTTTGTCGTGCAAATGACGTAAATGCTCACGCTGACCCACCTCCGAAGTATGGTCGCCGTGAGCACGCGACGTCACAAATTCGTGACGTCACTTCGCTTACAGAAAACGCTCAGGGAGCGAATCGGACCAATTGTAAATACGATAACAGCGCTGTGAGCGTGAATCGGACCGTAGCCTTAGTAGTAGTAGTAGCAGCAATAGACCGACAATAACCAGAGGGATGAAAAAACGTCCCTCAAAAATGAAGAAATTGATATTTCAAACGAATTGGAACGAACCCTAGTGATACTTAGTAGTAGTAGTAGCAGCAATAGACCGACAATAACCAGAGGGATGAAAAAACGTCCCTCAAAAATGAAGAAATTGATATTTCAAACGAATTGGAACGAACCCTAGTGATACTTAGTAGTAGTAGTAGCAGCAATAGTAGTTCCAGTAGTCAAAAAAGGGCTAAAAAGAAGAATTCATTAAAAAAGTAAGTACAGTGAAGAGCAATGAATCGCAGAGTCACATAGACTAGTGATTTTACCGACGTGTTTGACTGGTCAGATACATGTCTGAAAAATCAGACACGTTAGTAAAATCATCAGTCTATGTGACTTTGCGATTCATTTATTTCATTGCTCGTCACTATAGGTACGTACAATCATGGACACATCGATTGGGACACTTTCTTTTTTATAGGTTTCAAAACGCACTAATATTTTGCAAATGCGGACCACGATTGATGTTATACTGTCTCTAAACTAAAGATAGTAACATCGTGGTTCGCATTTGCAAAATATTATTAGTTATCTGTAAAGTATGTATTATGTATATTAAATACATATTAGAAACCTATAAAAAAAGTGTCGCAACCGATGTGTTCACGGCTGTACATACATACATACATACATACATACACACATACATACTACATACATATCAGAGAGGATATATCCGAGAGCAGCATTGTTATGTAATTTGTATCCACTTCTTCAGAGAGCATTAATGCACGAGAGCATTTTAGCGTTACAGCCAAAAGGTTGATATGTCCGCTCTCGGATCCTCTCTGATACATACACACCATCAGAGATACTATATATAATTTTTTAAATTAAAATAAATTATTAATAGACGACTGGAATCTTCGGTCAGTGAGGAGAACAATGACACAGAAAACGAATCTATCCACCTGGAATCAGCAGGTAGTTTTATTATGTAATTTTTTTATATCAGATATACAAAATAGATTTTTATCCTTATTATAATATTAAAATTTGTTCCTCAAGCAGGTACGGTCGACCAGAGGGATGAAAAAACGTCCCTCAAAAAGGAAGAAATTGATATTTCAAACGAATTGGAACGAACCCTAGTGATACTTAGTAGTAGTAGTAGCAGCAATAGACCGACAATAACCAGAGGGATGAAAAAACGTCCCTCAAAAATGAAGAAATTGATATTTCAAACGAATTGAAACGAACCCTAGTGATACTTAGTAGTAGTAGTAGCAAGTCAATTAGACCGACAATAACCAGAGGGATGAAAAA